ATAACAGGGAATAACAGCAGCACGCTGCGGAATTGATGGAATCATTGTTTTTGGGTGACCATCCAAACCTTTGCACAATTACTACTCGTGTGTGCATTTTGGTAAATTACATTAATTTAATTGTACATTGTGCTTTTAGAGTTGTACTATACAATTTTTTGGACAAAAATACCCTTACCCCGTTATAATTTCCGTTATCTTTTCCATTACTTTTACCATGCACATGCATCTACCATATCTTTTCTTATATTCTTTAATTATAACAATATTTGTAAAACATTATATATTCATTATATATTAGATCAATATAATAAATAAATTTTATTTCACTTAGATCTTAATTAGTAAAAATTTGTTAGCTATTTTTAAAAATATAAATATTGGGCATATGTTTTTGCGCATCGCGCATAGAAAAGACTAGTTATATTATACATGGTATTTAAAAGAAATATATAAAGCGACTAAAAAAGTATTAACAAAAATTGATGGAATCATTGTTTTTTGTACAATTACCAATTTACCATACTGAGATGATGGAGTCAAAGATTCTTGTTGGCCAAACCTTGTCATTTATTGTGCGAAATTCAACTTTATTTTTGGTTAAAATCTGTAGTGCCAAGTTGACCATATATAAATAGTAACACCAAACGTTTAGGGTATGCGCATTTTTTTTAAAAAAATAATAATAATAAAGGAACTATTTTTCAAAAGAAGAAAGAGTGTTTAGATGAAAAGATGGAAAATAATTGAAAATGAAAATGTTTTTAAAATTTCAAACTTTATAAAGAAACTTTTTTTTTTTTTTTAAACAAAAAGTTGTACTGTAGAAATGAAAAACGTGGATGAACAGTAACTGTAGTATTGTATCCATGTTTGCATCCATCTTCTTTATTTATTTATTTTATTATTATTAAAAAAATTATTGATTAGGGTAGATTATTGAATATGACATTAGCATTTTTTAGATAAGATAAATCTTGTTTAAAGTGGCACTAAATTATTCTTCCACCCCGACAGAGTATTTGGGAGGATGTAAATCAACCACAGCACACAAGGAGCCCCCCTCACTAACTCAACTGAACATGAACCACAGAGGCTAGACCTGGGACCCACATCCCAACAGAGACCCCCTCACTAACTCAACTGAACGTGAACCACAGAAGCTAGACTAGGGACCCACACCCCAACAGAGACTAGACCTGCGCATACCCCCTCACTAACTCAACTGAACATGAACCACAGAGGCTAGACCAGGGACCCACACCGGTGAAACTCGATCCCTGATCATTCTTCCAACTTTTCACCTCTATGACCAATTGAGCTACCCATGCGGGTAATGACACTAAATTATTGGTTAACTGGAAATATGGTTTCATATTTTAAGATCAATCAATCAAATAACTTTACCTCTCATGAAATTTGTCTCACCTAACTAATGGTTATATATAATATAATAATAAGGTCGAATGTTTGTTTCAAAGCACAAATGAAACACAAAAATAAAAGAGATTTCGATCATTGTAAATTGAAGATACGATTTAATTTAGTCTTACCATAATTCTATTCTTACACCAATTAGGACCCTGTTACCTAAAGCTTAATATTGTTTGGACAAGAATACTGAAGTCTACTCCAAAATGCTTGCACCAATTATGCACGTCGTCTATCTATTCTTTTTTTTTTTTTTTTTTTAACCCATCGACATCTCCATCAACCCATATGGCGCCTAAGCCAAGTCCAAAAACATCACACAATTTGGTGACATTTGACTTTTCAACGTGTATCACCTCAACTGTAGAGTAAATAACAAATATATTTAATTTTGATCGTAACGTATATGATACACTGATATATATATTGGATTCAATAATAATTACATATGTCAATTCGAGTAATGTATCAATTAAAAGACAATTCCCAAGTAGATATACATTCCAAGATATACAAATATAACTATATAGTTTTACCATAATCCGATCCTATTATTAATCCAACTAGAACTCTATTACCTAGGGCTTAATATCATTTGGACAAGACCACCGAAGTCTACTCTATAATGCTTCCACATCCTCCATTCATTCGTATATTAGCCAATTCTGAACGTCGTCTAATACGGATTATCTTTTCTTCTTAGCCCATCAACGACTCCTTCATCCCATATCATGCTTGATGCAGGTCTAGAAACATCATACAATTCAATGACCTTTAACTTTCAATTTTTATCGTCTCAAATATCAGAGTAAATACTAAATATATTTAATTTTGATCATAATGTATACTAATATACCGCTATATATATCGAATCCAGTAATAATTACATATGTCGATTCGAGTAATATATCAATTAAAACGCAAGTAAATATACAACCCAAGATATATAATACAAATGTAACTATTTAGTCCTACCCTAATTTGATCCTATTATTAATCCAACTAGATTCCATATCACACTTTGAGGAATGTGGAGAAACATCACACAATTCAATGACATTTAACTTTCAACTTCTCTCGTCTCAACTTTTAGACTAAATAAATATATTTAATTTTGAACACACACACATATATATTATATGGTCGAGATCAGGTGCAAAGGAGGTCCCAGGTGCGAACATATAGTTAGATCTGAGTCGTTGATCAAATCTAGATTAACGGCTCAAATCAATGAAAATTAAAAAATAAAGTGCTTCTCGAAGGAACAAACACTAGCTAAAAATGGCGCACCTTAAGTGTCAGAACAACGCACCTTAATTAAGTGTTAAAATGGCTCACTTTAAGTCTTAACATGTGCATATTGAGTTTATTAAAAATGACGCACCTTAAATATAAAAATCACGCACCTTAAGTATAAAAATAGCGCACCTTAAGCGTAGAACTTATGCACCTTAAGTTTATAACTAACACACTTTAAATGTTAAAATGGCGCACCTTAAGTGTTAAAAGGGCGCATCTTAAGCTATAGAAAGACGCACCTAAAGGTTTAGAATGACGCACCTAAAGCTTCAACAAAAAACGCACCTTAAGTTCTCACTGAATAACTAACGCACCTAAGTACAGAAACCACACACCTTAAGAAGGAACATGACGCAACTTAAGTTTGACCAATACAAAAAATGACCAAATTGCCACCGCTTTATTTTTTAAAATCCTTATTAATACTGGACGTTGATTTTGGCAAGATCAATGACTCTCATCTCACCACACGTTTTACCTTAACAAAGCATTCGTATCTGATTTGTCTTTTATATATATATATATATATATATATATATATATATATATATATATATATATATATATATATATGCTTCAAATCTTGTGCAACCCCTATATTAGATGAGATCATGAGATCTCATGATATCTATTGATTCATTTTCCATAAATGGTTGAGATTATAAGAGATTGTGAAAGTAATTAAGGATATATTTAAATCAAAAGGATTAAATAGTAATTGTAGATATATGTTTAATTATGGATATAATTCAATTGGAATCTTAAGCATTATATTAGGGAGATTATGAATGGAAATTGATATTTTAAATTATTAGGGATCCTATCAATGGTAATAATTAATTATATTTTGTACATCTGAAATTTTAAATTATTGGAAATTTTACGGCGGTGTGTGCGTGGGTGTGGAATGGTGTGTGCGTTTTATAGTTTGCCATGGTGTACACCTCCTGTTACAAAAAACCGCACACGCCATTCCACACCCGCGCACACACCATCGTAAAATTCCACACAATTTAAAAAAAAAAAAAACACACACACACACACAACAAGCCCAATACTATATCTACGTTTCGCAGACGCCCGAAACTAGTAAAACACAAACCAAAATGTGCATGCCTGTATCACGAAACGCACATACCAAAACGCATAATTTTATGAAAAAAACCAGCACGTCAGGGTGTACGAACCTTGTTACAGTAAAACGCACACACCATTCTACATCCACACACACCGCCGTAAAATTCCAAAGAAAATTACTAAGAAAGAGAGAAATATTGATTAAGGAGAGCTGAAATAACGCTACAAATATATATATATATATATATATATATAGTAACGTATCAATTAAAACGCAAATAGATATACATCTCAAGATAATACAAATTTAATCTTTCCCTAATCCGAATGGATATATATGCATCCTAAGATGATACAAATGTGAGTATTGTGTGCTGAGATTAAATTGATCCTAAAGGAGGCAAGGATTTTGCCCCCCAAAAAAAAGGAGGCAAGGAACAATGAACCTAGGAGAGGATAGGATCAATTTTGACCAGGATTGCAGGCTTTTTCCTTGTACCTTTGTTGGCCCCCAATTTCCTTTTCTTTAGTAGTTATGCCGCAAAACAAGTAGATAACATCGGTTAAACAAATAACAACTAACAACCAACAGAACTACTACTTTCCAAGGTTACTAACACCCCTAAAATCAAACATCCTAAGTAAGGATTAATGTTATAACTAATAAACCGAAAGTCTAATCAACTTTGTTTTTTTAGTAGAACCAACCGTTACTATGGTTGTGTAATGGATAAATTCTGTTTATAATCTTAAACGACAAAAACCACCAAAAAAGTTAATCGACTTAGCTCAAACCAAGAAGGTCAAATGTCACTCCTACTGTGAGTCGAACTTGAAACTTTATAATCACCAAGCTAGCAACTTGGCTGGATCGCCCCAAGCCTAACAAACTTTTAGAATAATAGTTGTGTTTTTGTAGAGCCATTACCGTTATTACTGTCCTAATGATTGATGGAGGTAAATTACGGGATGTGTTGTTTATGAGCTTCCGGACATATGAATTATACTAATTTTGAATTGATTGAGTAATTGAGTCGTATCTGAGACATGAGTTTAATTACATTTACATGTGATATATGATATGGTGTGGATTAGTATAGCGTGCGAACTTTAATCAGCATATTATGCGTAGTGGCATATTACTACGTCATAAGTAGGCAAAGCCGAAGCTGGCGGACGAGGTTGTCTTAGGAACCACGTTTGTATCTGTATCTGTTGATATATATAAACCGATGTTTATTGGGTTGTGTTCAATTCCTCCATAGCAACACTTTTTCTTTTTAACACCGCTCTTTTTTCATCTTTTTCTGGTACAAGATTTTTCTTTTCTTCTGACCCCTTTCCAGTGAGAGAGAGAGAGATAGTCCCAGTCTCCTTATAAATTGAACCTCTTCACACCCATACTTATCTGTTCATCATCATAATTGGGCAGTTTGTTTGATGGAGAATACCTCTGGGTTTAGTGGCGTTGAAGAAGAAATGGAGCTGCATATGCCTCCTGGGTTCAGATTCCATCCCACAGACGAAGAGCTCATCAGCCATTACTTGTGCCCCAAGGTTGCAGATAGCAGGTTTTCTGCAGCTGCCATGGGTGAAGTGGATTTGAACAAGGTTGAGCCCTGGGATTTGCCCTGTAAGTCTTGATCATTTCTCCATTCTGGATTTCTGCCTGTTACCCTTTACTGATTTTCTTGTTGTGGAGCTTGATTCTTGGCTATGGAGTAATTTTGTGTGTTGTGGTGAAAGGGAGGGCGAAAATGGGGGAGAAAGAATGGTATTTCTTCTGTGTGAGAGACCGGAAGTATCCGACCGGGCAGAGAACTAACAGAGCGACGGAAGCAGGGTATTGGAAGGCGACCGGAAAAGATAGAGAGATTTTCAGGGCGAAGACGCTGGTGGGGATGAAGAAGACGCTGGTTTTCTACAAGGGAAGAGCGCCCAAAGGCCAGAAGACCAATTGGGTTATGCATGAATATAGATTGGAGGGGAACTATTCCATCCCAAACCACAAGGTAAGATCCTAGAGATTCCATCTGTTTAATCAGTAAAACTTGGTTTCTTGATCTTAATCCTCTGAAAACTGAAAAGATTCTGTTTTCCAGAACGAATGGGTGATCTGCAGAGTGTTCAAGAAGACTTCCGGCGGCCACAAGATCCATATTTCCGGGCTCACCAGGGGGGAGGGTCTGCCGGCGTTAATGGAAGTATCTGCAACTTCCGGCGAGGCGATGCCGCACGTGACCTGCTTCTCCGGCTCCAAGGAGGACAAAAAACCCATCGCTCCCCATTTCTCTTCATCGAAAAACTCAGATTTCTCCGGCGTCTTCCCCAGCCTGGAATTTCAGCACTACTCTGAACCGGACGACCACTCGGTTCTGCGCCTCTGGCTGGAGAACAACGGGCTGCAAGCGAAGCAGGATAATGATGACGATGAGTTCTTGATGAGCTCAGAAGCCGGTCCGGTGGACCTGGATTGTCTCTGGAATTATTGAATCTGAAAAAGACAGATTGAGAGAGCAGTGATTTAATGGTTGAAGATGCAGAAGAAGAAGCATGTGGATAGATAGAATTATAGAAAGAAAGAAAGAACAGAGGAATGACATAGAGTGATTGTGTGATCATCAGTCCATCATCATATTGATATTGCTGCAAATAATTTTTCTTTATGTTATATTTTCATTAATTAAGACATGGCTGTGTTGTATTGTATATATTTCTTGGGAAACTAATTGCTCTGATAATACAAAAATATCAATGTTTGATTTGATTATCTTCTTTTTTATTTACTGAACAATTTATAGTGGCTAATTTACTATTCAAAAGTATCTTTGACACCTAACCATCAAAGAATAACAAGAAAGTAAATCATTCCACAAAGAATAGAACTTAAAACTTAGTAAGTTAACTCCCTGACCCGGCAGCATTTGACTCACTTCTTTCCTATCCCCACTTAAGGATTACCATTTTCTTGTTTCTTTCCATTTATTGTATAGTTTATAGGTTAGTTTCAACCTATCCATATTTTATTTGCATCCAAATGGTGTCATCCATGGTATTTCATTGTATTGTATTGAGTTATTGACTTGTAACTCAATCGGTCAATTTTTAAAGTAAATAACAAATATAAAAAAAAAAGTTGACAATCATTATCATCTACTCGAAAATAATACACAATAGTTTGAAATCACAATTAGTTATTGCTTCGTAATTGTTTGGCCACCAACCAAAACTACATGACATTATCTAGGGTTGTGTTTGGAAAAACTAAATAAAACAGTAACATCTTGATTAAACATATACACACAAAAATCAAGTATGACTACTGCAATAACAATTTTTTTGTAATGAGTAGTTCAGTTGGTTGCTTCAATTCATGAATCCAATTATCTAAGCAATTCGTACTGCTCCCACTTGAATCAACATTTTTTAGTTATTCAATAATCGTTTTAAAGCTATGGTAAATACAACATTGTATGGTCTAATAGAAAGTGGTCGTCTAGCTTCTGTGTTCAGTTGAGTTATCATGATTTACATCTTCACATATGTTTTGTCGCGCTGAGGCGTGGGGGGTCTTGGGTTGGGGGTTCAACCTTTACGGAAGAATGGAAAGTGGAATTGTTAATCCCCAATTGAACCAACCAAAGTCTTGGATTAGAAAACCTAACAACAAAAGTAAACTCAAAGTTGGTAGGTTGTCCTCATCTTTCAAGCACAAATCCTTTGAAATGGGATGGTGTTGATGTCCCTTTCTGTAGCTTTGCTGTTTTAATGATGTACGTGCGTTTTGGGGGTTATGTTTTCCATGTCAACAAAACTCAACATTCTAATAAGACATCATTCTACAAAACATGGGCCTGCACCCCCAAATTTCTTGCTCCAATTATATGGTAAAAGGGTTAGCATTCAAATCTTTCAAGCTGGCTAGCTAGTTACCAATGCACTTTGGAAGTTGAACTTTGCACTTTGGAAGTTGAACTTTCACATTTGTTTGATTTTTCAACGGGTGATCGACTGATTGTGTTATTAATATAATTTAAAGAAGACAATAGTTAAAAAATATATATAATGATCATTTTGATTTTTGAATTTATTATTAAATTAAGTGGTGGTCAAATTTAATCTGACTTGCTTTTTGAATGATTAATTGTTGAGTAGAAAATTTTTATATTTATAATACAATGTTCAATGGTTGCGAAAATTGTCACAAAATCACTTATATGTAATAGTTCATATAGCGATGACGGTTATTGAATTTATCACAAAAATGCCTTATCCACAAGTTAATTAAGATCACTAGTTAAACAAAGTTTTTGTTGTATGTGGTGATCAAGTCTCTTTTTACTATACAAGATAAAATCTTTCTAACTATAAATCAAGATCGACAAGCAGACATGATCCATTCATCTCGACAATCAAGATTCAGTATACTTTTACTTCAATTATGTAGTTTTCTGCTCTCCATTTTTCTATTTCATGCACCTTCTCGATTTGCTAAATTAATGAAATATAAAAATAAATATTTTTTTTTAAAAAAAAAATTCTTTAATTTTTCATTTTCTGATTAGTAAATGCACCCTAAATATGGGGACTAGTTCAATTTCTTGTATGATCAATTGCCAAACATTCATAAACATCACTACTGAAAATTATAAAATTTCCGACCAATTGAGAGTGATCTTAAATCAATTCGAAAGTCTTGTTCCGACCACTTTTGATATCCGGAAAAATTTTTGTTGCTATTTTCGATCACTTTTTGGTATCAACTTGGTTTAAGATCACTTTCAGGTGGTCAGAAATTCCATAATTTCTAGTAGTGATATTTTGTATTATTTTTTTTTTTTGGAAAAATATTTTATAAACTGAATTAATGGAAGAAGAATAATGAATCCTCCATCATATAAAGACATGAAAGTTGTCAGCAAACTTATCGGCCAACTCAGACGAATTGAAAACAAGGATGCGTCACACAACACATGCATACACTCCAACACATATAATTACTGCACGTACACATCTTATGAACAAAACATCAATTTATCATAAAGCTCACAATCCTCTTCATTAAGTTTACCATGTAACTTTAACGGGTAAAGAATCACAATGAAGCAAATCAATAAACCAATAAATAACTTCCTCAGAGAGTTAAACTTAAAACGTTAACAAAACAACTACTAACTCGGCTGGAATTGCTCTTTATAGGAACACAACAGTAACGACATTCGCCCATGGAGACACACACTATTGGTTTTACGGTCACGAGGTAACCGGACGGCGGACCAACACAACTGTAAAAATATTAAGTAAAATTTGAGGGAGAATGTAGACAGAGTAATTGCACTAGAATTGAATTCAAAACCTTTTACAATGTGACCCTATGAATATTTATACAAGATACATGGGCTTTGAAAAATGAAAGAAGGAAGAAACTAACAAAATTGGACTTAGAAAAGCTTCCAAACTGCTAAAGCATATTCCTAATATAAGAAAAGGAAATCCCGCGCTAAAACTGAAAAGAATATCCGTCAAATCTTCAATCACTGAGTGCGACACTCGGCCGGGACCCCTCCGACGGCCTAGTCTGGCCGCTCAACTAGGCAGACCAACAAAACACACGAGTAGACTAGGGCCAGACTGCTGGAATCCGCCTATCCTCTAAGCAAGTAGTCGAGCTGTATACCCTAACCGCCTATGACGGGTACCCTACCGGGGTATCCATCCCACACAATAACAGTGCATGCATTTGGACACGTACCTAAATCAGGGCGTCATAGAAAAACAGTAATGAGTAATGACAGCGAAACCAACCAGAAAATAAGGAAAAACAACGTCTTGTCCGACTTGGCTCTGACGTCGTCATTTCTTGATTGTACTTGCCAAGTTGGCTTCAGTTTTGTCTGCAAGCTGACGGCAGAGTGAGAGATGAGAGAGATAGTAGTACGTACAAGAATATTTCTTCCGATTAGTTTACCTAACTCGATCTGTGTGTTACATGCTTACTTAGTTATATATATATATATAATCTACCTTAAACTCTTCCTCTTTCGTCAAACGTTGCACCGTGTACATGGCTTTCATTTCAACTGTTCCCACTGTCAACTTTAGAATCGAGCAACGGGAATTAATAGTGTTAGGCATCTTGGTACCCTAAATTTCTAACATATTTAATTAGTCAACCCCAAAATATTAGGAATTAGTCTATGTAAATGTCATGAATGAATTAAGCCATTCCAAATAGAAGGTCACATATTTGAGTTTGATATCAATAAGGATATTGACATAATTATGTTGAGCAGATACTATAGATAGGGTTAGATCACAAAAATAAATAAATAAATAAATAATGTGTGCTTACGTTTTTAATACTCTATTGGATTAAATATATTGGGTTGTCGAAGTACCTTGTGCTCAGATGTCACCTCTGTGGCTCCCCTTGAATGAAGATTACATGATCAAACCCTGATTGGGTTGCAGTAGTTAAAGAAAGTATAGAACATATACTACATTGTAATAGAGTCAATAGTATTTTAAAAAGAAAGTATAGAACAGATAATACCTTAATAGAGTCAATAGTATTTAAAAAAAAAAAAAAGAAGAAGATATATTGGGTTAGACCAAAATTAACCCAAAATACCAATTGTCTCAATTTAGAAAATTTATCTTGCCGACCTAAATTTGTAGTTGTTTTTAGGACATATAGTCTGCCAATCTAAAACGAATTAGTCACGTTTTTAATCTAGTACATCCTAGACCGTTATCCGATTTCCTATTATGAAAATGATGTTTTATCATATTACAAGTTTACAATTGCACACAAATGAAAATGACCATTTGTTCTTTCGTGTGTAGACAAATGTGACTACGTCAGTAGTACATAGAACATAAAAAAGAGTAAGTCAAATCTGATTTGGTTTCTATGATGGGCCTGGGCTATTACTTCAAATTTTATTATGGAATCCAAATTTTAGGATATAACAAAAATCGTGAGGCCTAATATAGAAATTAAACCGGAAAGCCGAGTAATGAAATCAGAAGGCCCAAGTTCATAAAACCCAAAACAATAAACTATGTTATCAGATTTACCGCAAATTATGTTGTGGACACGAGTCCAAAACGATGTCGTTTTCAGAAAAAATGCGACATTTCAGTTTGTAAAAAAATTGATTTTGTCTCGCCGTTAACGGCGTTATTCGTTTGTGACATTATGAATGTACAGTTATGGAATTATGAATGTAAGTTATGAAATTATGATCACAAAGCTCTGACATTATGAACTTACAATTATGAACACATAGTGATAAAATTATGAACATAGAGCTCTAAAATTGTGAACATAGAGTTTCGAAAATTATGAATGTACAGTTAGGGTATTATGAACGTACAGTTATGGAATTATGAATGTATAGTTATGGAATTATGAACACAAAGCTCTGACATTATGAACTTACAATATGAACATATAGTGATAAAATTATGAACATAGAGCTTCAAAAATTATAAATTAACAGTTATTGAATTATGAATGTACAGTTACGGAATTATGAATGTACAATTATGGAAGTATGAATATACAGTTATGGAATTGTGAACACAGAGCTCTGACATTATGAACTTACAATTATGAACATATAGTGATAAAATTATGAACATATACTCCTATAACGAAGCGGTCTGAAATTATAAAAAAAAATAAAAAAAAAAAAAAATAAAAAGTGGAAGATAACGGTGCCACTAATGGCACCGTTACCGTGTCCACAATGCATGCTGGAC